AAATATAGCATCCGTGACAAACTTGCAGTCCCAATGAATGCATTTCATGTATATGCTGATTGAACACACTGATTAAAGATATACATTTGTGTACTATACCTTGCAGATTTATATATGACTAATAAAGACATTTGCTAATACCAGAAAAATCAGTTCATAAACTTCTTAGGAAATGCGCATAAAGATTTATATCTTACTTGCAATCAGTTTACACTGCATCCTGGGTCAGGATAAGTGATTAGAAGAAGGATTAATGGAAATAGTTTACTTCATATCTTCCATAAGCCTAAGTGCGCAAATATGTGTTGATGTGCTTCTTGTAACATGATCAGACTAAAGGTCTTCTTTTCACATCATGTTTTGTCCTTATTCCTCTTTTGGGACATTTACCTGGATTTTGAAAATAATGTTTATGCCCTCATAGATTTTCTTCAGCAATTAAAATATGTCACAAATACCACTGTATTCCAGAAGTCACTATTGCTATATACCTTTGAAAACGGCCTTATTCTATACAGTTAAAGTAGATCCCTTTGATGGTGTTATGGGATATTTAGTGAAATATGGTCATAAAGATCAACAGAGAAGTAATATTATTTCCTACAGGTAAATTGTTTAAAACATTTTATCCTGTTTCTACATTGAACCGTGTACTGTATTTAAACCAAAATAATGTTTTCTTTCATTTCCAGACAGCAGAAAATGAACTCTAAGCGATTATTTGTATTTTGCTGTTTTGCACCATTTTCAGTACTTCTTATACATTTCTCCATATTAGTCATGCGTATTACTCATGCATATCTGCAATATCAGATTGGGAAGAACGTGGTTAAAAAAAAACAAAACAATTCACTCTATTCATTCACCTGTCAATTTTCAAGAAAAGCGCACACATCACAAAAAAATCTGCATCACATTTTCCAAAAAAAACTTTGGAACCCCAACTGGCTTGAGAGCCCAAATTCATTTTTATTAAGATATATAATGATTCCTGCATTAAAATTTAAATGAATTAGTTTTACACCCCCACCTCCAATAAAAGAAAGGTTGTTCAAAGGCTCTTCTCTATCCACTCAGAAGCATACGAAGGTAATCAAGATATGAACTGCCTTGATTCTTTTCTATCTGAATGTCTCTTACATAGCTAGGTTCATATATGCAGCCTGATGCCTAAACAGCATTTCTGGTACCTACTGCAAAATCCTTTAAAATGCATAAAAAAGTTACTGTTGAAGCATCAGCTGTAGTTAAAGGCAAAATGCAGGGCATAATGAAAATTCCAAGTTAAAAACAGTATTTTCAGCTCTAATGCCAATTTTGGAATTTTAGATGTACTTCTTCTGACAGCAGTCTGAATTATTTCCCCATAAATATTTTCTTTTAAATCCAAGTAGTAGTGTCACTGCACACTGAATGCAATGTCTAGACAACAAAATAATACTATGATATTGACGTTACTATGATATTGTTTCATGAAGTAATGTTAGGATGCAGATCATTCTGACAACCAAAAATCCAGCAGCTTATCATTATTGACATCAGTACAAGGCTTCTGAGAATTCCTCAAACACACACTGCATTAGTCTTTTTTGTTTTCTCCTTTTTTGCCACCTTTTCTATATGGTTCTAGTGCACTCTGAAGGAATAATGTGCCATTTGTGAATCATCATTTTGATTTTCCTTCCTTTCAGGTCAGCCCTTGGCCAAGTAAACTTGGAAACATATTAATTCAAATAAAAAAAAAAATCTAGGATAATGAGGATATGTGGAAGTTGTTAAGTGTGTGTAACCACCCAAGAACATATGTAGCTAGACCAATCCTTTAAATGGTCTCAATTGAGTCATAATGGCTAACTTCACAGAAAATGATATCGGCAACACTGTCTGATCAGTCTGTGAAAGTGGAAGTTTCTCCCACACTAATTTCTTTGACTCACAGCTTCCATCTGTCTGCTTTCAGTTATTTAACCTATATTTATTAACCCCAGTCATCCATAAGAATAAATCCATACGACAGAAATGAATTTGTTTTGACCTCAGCCGAAATTGCAATCTGGGGTGTTTGTTTAGCACGGGTGCAGAACAATGCATGTGGAATTAGCATTACATTATAGTACAAGTTCTTGCATGTAGATAATAAACAGCTGTGGCTTGGCAATATTAATGGCAGACATGGCGTCACTGTGACAAAGAGATATCAGAGAGGATGCACTGGCAGTCACACGGCAAGCAGGGGGTCTATGAGTGCACAGCGCTGCAGATGTGCTGTCGTGCTCTGAGCCGTAATTCCACTCACTCATCGGGCTGACACGCCTAGCTAGACAGTAAAAATACAAAAACATGACAATAACATTGATCTGATTCTTCAGCCTTGCTTAGCGCTAGTACTGGGTGACTTGTGTGAGTTTCACAAATAGGTTCAAAATAAACTGCTAATTTAAAGGAAAAACGTTATGTCTAAGTAAGCAATTTCCTTGGTGCGAAGTATCAGCTTCTGTAAAATGGCTGTGTTGTTCAGTGGCTCAATAACCCTTCAGAAAATTAATCAACATATAAAAAAGTAAAGGGGAAAGAAAATAATTACTATTGGAAACAAATTATTATTATTTGCCCAGTGAATGTAAAATTGGTGAATATCTATGGGGAATAGAATTGAGTCATTCAAATATGAACTAATTTACATAGTAAATATACTACGAAATATTTGAGTTAAAGCATTAAGGTTTTGCCCAGACCTCAGTTTAATGAAAAACATTAGGTATGTGATGATAACACAACAGTAGCAATAACTGCACTTTTAAGACCTTATGTAAGGTGTTATGTAACTCTGTTCTTTGCAATAAAACGCCCGTTTTGGCCAAATGAAATGGACACAGAACAGTGACGTGACACCCGAATGGCATGACGTGCTATTGTTGTGCATAATTCTCCTACTGTATATTGCAAGATCATATTTCAGTTTACAGTTGATATGTTCAGTTTAAATACTTTTTCCCCATCCCCACTGCAATGCTAAGTACCTAATACATAATACAAATACTGATGATAAATCTTCAGGTAACATGTTGAATGTATAAAATAGCTGTCAGTTTAGCAGTTAACAGTCAAAAATTCTGGTAACACTTTATTTGATGGGACACAAATTAGCATTATGCTATTAATCATGTATTAATTAACCATCAACTAAGTCTTAGTTACATTCTGATGTCATGTTCATTCATCATTAATGAATCGTAACATTTTTTATCTCCGTTACTATATTTGTTACTATATCTATTAATTCTGTAAATGTTTGTAAACTACTGAACAAACAAGTCATGAAGAACACGTGAAATAATGATCTTGTGTTTGTTCATCATTAATGAATCATGACACATCTTTTGTCGACTATATTTGATTATGATTTGTTCATGATTTGTACTTCAGTAGTAACTGAGTTATTACTAAGTATTATCAAGTAAAATATTACCAAACTGCTTAGTAAATATAAACAAAATCATATAGATCTGTTAGCCAATGATGAAGCACAGGTCTAGCCTTCTGGCAGCCATTGGCTGACGATGCGTGAGCTTGGTTTTATGCTCTAGCACTTGTCACAAGGGGATTGAAATGTTGTGTCAAATGCTTATAATCACTGAAAATGTAATTTTTACAAATAAAATCTGCAATTTATTTTACAGTATTTATTTATGGGTTTGAAGCACCTTTAGGTATAAAGTAGAAATTGGATGGCATGTCCGGCAAAGAATAACCGATGCCGTTGATGTGTACACATATCTTCGTTATACACAAATATGCTATAAATAGTTACAATTTTCCTTTTTAGGAAATGGTCTGCATTCATTATATTTTTACCATTTTACTGTTGTTATATTTTAATCTAAGATCTGCACTTTCATCCTCCTTTTAACAAAATTCTAACATTAAGTGTTAAAACACTAACAGACTACAAAGTGTCCCTAAAAAACATATTCTTTGTTTATTAGGCTTAAAGGGAGCTCTAAGAAACTTGATAGAAATCTGAACTGGACTCACCTGATCTGTGTTTTTGACATTAAACATCGTTATTAATGAAATATTACTTCTATTGGTATTTACATATTAGTATCAGTACATAAAGTTGGAATTCTGAGCATAAAGGGTGCCAAAATGACACTATCTGATTCTAGGGTTCTCTGCTGCACCTGCCAGGTTAAATGACTTTTTAGACTCAAGAAAAGGTGTCCTAATGAGAATGTCCCAGAACTCTCGTTAGAGTCCCAACATTTTTGGACTGATATTGTATCTTCACTCTATACGATCCATTTACCCTTGTAAACACTCTAATGTTAAAACAAGCATCATAATACTCAGAACCTTACTCTGAACTATACCTACAGTATGGCAGCTCCTCCTGAGTAATCCACCAAAATTACAATTTTCAGAACATTTCAAGGTCCATGTAAATAGAAAGATTAGCAAATTTAGTAATGCTAGCTGTGATCGTTTTCAATTCCTCCTACTTACATGACATTTTGTGGAATCACTAACCAGTTACTTTTCTGTGAAAGCGACTAATACTGTAGTGCTGGATCACATAACATTTATGCGATAACTAAGATTAAAACTACATTGTCACAAATAACTGATGCTCTTTACACAGAAAAGATGTCATTCATAATCATACTCCATAGATAAAATAACATTATTCACTTGCCATTAATATGCAGTGTCTTGGTATAAGGCAGCAATTCTAGTAATGATAGTATGGATACACATGCTGTATATTTTTGAAACCTTGAAGTCTTTGATTAAATTGGCCTGTATAGAGAAAGGCTTGTAAAATCACCAGCAAATTTCACGTCAATTTGCAACATTTCTAAAAATCATTACATTACCTATTTAAAACACTTAACCAACAGGCAGATCTTATTATGCCGTTAATATTTATTCATCGGGGTAAAAACTTAAAAATTTTAAATGTTAAGGTTGAAGGTAAGCATACACGCTGTTCTTACTACCTTGGCACAAAAGAGCCATCTTTCCGGTTTACCGGAACGAAAGGCCTCACGAAACAAAATCCACACCTGACTTCGGCACGACAGCGTCCAGAGTCAAGCATGGATTAGAAATCAAATTGGCTACAAGATGAAGTCATCATGGCCGCAGACAGGAAACAAACCGATAAGAGCATGTCATCTACCTCACTCCTTGGGCAGCTCTTCCTCCTCTCTTATTCCTTCTTACGACGGGATTGACGAAGAGCTGGCTCGTCTCTAAAAGAAAAGCAAAACAACAAAAAAAGCACAAATCACAAGCAACTTCAGTCTGAGAAGAAAGCAGGAAAATCAAAGGATGCTGTTCCGCCGCGTGCTATTGGCTTACAAAGACGCAACACTTCATATGATGTGGTATGGGCTTATTTGGCAGGTAAAAACAAGCACGCAGCACTGAAAGCCCATGAACGAAAAAGGCGCCCCAAAAGCACCATGGTCTACAGTATGTCCCTATTTATTACTGTTATCCCTTTTCACAACCTTTGTTATCGTTAGTAACGATTGCTCCAGGGACTGGCTGGCTCTGCTTTCTCAAACACACATAGCTGTGGACAAAAGCATCTGCTAGATAAATAAATGCAAATGGCAGTATTTTAATCATGTAAAGAACACTGGTTATTGAAGTATCCTGGTTATTTTAGGTTATTAAATACATTTTGTTCTCTGTATTCGGTCTTCTGTTTTTCTCCAGTGCTGTTTAAATTAATACATTTTTCCTTCAGTATTCAAAGGACATTTCTTTCTGCATTTAGCTGTGATAAAAGAGAAAAGCTGACAAACTTTCTATGTATATAAGACTAAAATGCTTACTATGGAAGCATTCTTAAGTATACATGTATTGGATGATATGTTTTATTTAGTAAATATCTCTCCCTCAGACCAGTATGGTAGCTACATAACTAATTTAACTCATGTCATCAACACAGAGAGTGAACAGGCAACCAAAAAGCAATGTATCCTCATTACCGTAACATACAGGAAATAAACTACATTTAGCCAGGTAAAGCGTTTTATCCAATGACTGCCAAATTATTTATCTGAAATAAATTATAATGATGACACAAAGCAATGTTAAAAAGTGGTGTATATAGTGCTGGTGAAAATAACCAGTGGTCATTAATGTGATTCTCATTTTATGCTGTGTTTGTTTGCAAGACAGTATTGTCTTTGTGCATTGTAGTTTTCAAGAGGCCCACTGAATTTTTCCATATTCATAAAATGAAGTTTTGCCTTGAAATCTTTAGGTCTGCACAATATTTATTATATATGAACCATCTTATCTGGACCACTTAACTGTTTTGTTTTTTCTTTCGTTGCATGGAAAAATACGTGCAACAATAAGCATTTCACAATAAGTTTCACATTATGCAGTGTTATGCCTCTAAATAGCTAACGACTAATAAATGATCGTTCGCAAACCTCAAACTGACTACTGGAAAAATGCTTCCAGGTAGTGGCTAGAAACTGCAAAGAATGCTGTAACGTAGCTATGACCAAACTGCAGCAAAAAAAAAGCAAAGAACGCATAAGATGCCAATGCTTCACAATTATTAGTAGCTACAAACTGGAACACAAATGAGACATTTCCTTCAAGTTTGTGGAGTGACTAACTGTGAAGCGGAAGCTTTGCTAATGAAGATCATCTGTTCATCTTCCAACAGGTAATGTTGGACTGGGTCAGCTATAATGTAACCTAAGCAGTGCAGGCTACAAAGCAGAGGTACACACTGGACAGGATGCAAGTTCATTGTAGGCTGCATACTATAATTATACTTACACTATGGAACTATATTATGCCACTATAAATAAGTAATGCTGAAAAAGGTATCACTATATGTTAGGCAGTGGGAGGGAACCAGAGAACGTGCAAACTACACACACAGGGTTCAAACCCCCAGTGCTGCAGGTGTGAGGTAACTACACTACCCACAGAGCCACCATGCCTCTCCGAAACATATGTCTATTCTGTGGTATTTAGATGTGTAACCAAATAGGTTAACCTGCTTTGGTAGGAAGTGTAATGGTTTCTGTAAACCAAAGCAGAGCTTAGGGAATACTATGGAAAGGCTCGATTCAATTGTTTATAAAATTGTGGCCATTTTAGGTGCCATGCTGCAGCGCCCATGTGGTGGTGCTCACAGAAGTCCCCCATCCAGGGCAATGGAACTAAAGAGGACAAAGATTTCAGTGTTGCCTGTGTTTATTAAAACCAAAAATATGTAAACAAGAGTATGCCACCCAATTCCCACGCATTACAAACTCAAATCTTACTACAATTAACCTGATGAAGTTACGCTCCACCAGCAAACCTTCATAAACACTTAGGGTCTGTTGTATAAATTCTTGCCACTAAAAACAGTGGCCAGATTGAAGTGTTATTATCTTATGATGTCTGTGTGTTTTGCTGCTGTCTTTAATAAAATCTAGTAATAATCATAAATAATAGAATGAATAAATAAAAATAAAGCTAACATTTTACTCTTGCACTTCACAATTCACAAATAAATTCTTGTACAAATGACTAACTGAATTTTCTATAATCGGAAGCAATAGTAATACAGCCGCAAAAGATAATATGATACTTTCCTAAGGGCAGACAACACATAACTTTAGTTGGATTTTTATTTTCAGTTTTTTTTTGCTTGTTTTTGAGACTTTTTTTTAGCTAAAAGATCGTAGCTATATTTATACCTATATTAAGTCATGGTATTGATCTGAACGTAGCACAGCCAGGAATGGACCAATGTAACTGCAATGTCACACACTGTAATACGCAAGCACAAAAATGAACAAATGATGGGAAACAGTAAGCTGCATTTTCCCCTAAATTAACAACTTTCTGCACCTAAGACTTGTTTTGACTATTACTTTAGGTATAAAGAGAAACAGATTATACAGTTAAGAATTTGAGTGTAGTGTAAATGTTGGCCTACTTCAATCAATACTGAGATTTTAGTTGCCTTCAGAAGACTTCCCAAGGGCTTTCGACATGTTTGAAACTTTACTGGAAATTGCAAAAAAAAATGTTTGAGTGCTGGATTCAATGTGCTGACTGAACATCTGATCCAACTTACGGTTTTCAATAGGGAGCCCAGTCAATAGATTTTTCCAGGAGCTACATATCTAAACATCACTTGGATGGACATATATTCATTTCCCAACCACTTATCCAGTATAAAGTCGCAGTGTGTACATTTAACTATGAATACTTTGTCTCAATACTTGTATTGAACAGTCGGTAACATGACCGAATATGGGATCAGTACATAACTAGCACTTAGTTGCCTGGTAAGTGACAGATTAAGTAAGAGTGTATTACTACATTATTTATACCCCTCAAGTAAAGTGTTACTATGTCATTCACTAGAAGTTCTGAATTACAACAAATAATTATTCACTGTACAGATCTTCATTCACTCTATGCCAGGGTCCTGAGCAACATGTTGGAATAAAAACATTATTATAAGATGGAATTGGTTGGAATTAGATGATGATGATGAAACTGCATTTCTGAAGTGCCTTTCATCTTCTTTCAGTTCATTTAACACTACGTGCAACTTTAAATTGTCTGCCATGGTTGCTGGAAAAAAAGCAATATTGTAATAATGTATATAATATAGTGTAAAAACTATATGAAAGAAGTTTTAGTAAGATACCAATGAAAAATGCCTGATATCATCTATTTCTAGGATCCAGAAAACGTTCCACTGTTTTAGATTTTGGTGAACAGGGACCTGTTTTTCAAAAAATATCTCATACTGTACATCCATCCGACCATCAATTTCAGTCGCCTAACTTTTTTAGGAAATACTTAACGTGACCTTCTGAATACTTACATTAATATCATATGAGATACAGCTTTCCTTCACACACAAAATGATATACAATGGGAATGTGTATATAATCATGATAAAACCTTTATTATTCTGAAAAGTATCACATTTGTGAAACAAGCGAGTCTTCCGCAGTCAAAGCTGTGAGCAGACACCGACAGAAGCAAACGTTTAATTTGATGAATAACTTTATATTAGGACTTTTTTGTCAACTGTATTTTTGTTTAAATATCTAATGAACGGGTTAGAATAAAATAATAACTTCATTAAAAAGAATAATGAACGGAACATTAAGTTCACTAATTGCTAACTTTAACTAAATCAACATAATTATGTTATTATGTTGTTAAGTTATGGTTTAAAAATTCTTCATTCAACCCTTTCTAAACATTGGCAGTGAAACAATTCAAAGACAGGACTATTTGTTCTATCATTTGTAACTCACCTATAGATGTCAGCTGGCACAATACAGGATGTACAGTGTAAAGTTGTATTTATACTTTGAAACTTAAAAAAAGTGTTGAGACAGCCTCTTTTGAGCAAAAAAAAAAGGGCTTTGAAAAGTTCCACGCCAACACAAGAATAGTACAAGACAATACTATAATTAGTACTTTAAGTTATTAATTTGATGAATTTCATAAGTCTTCCAGCCTTGTTTCTTTCTTCATATTTCCAAACTACTATTAACTGTAATAAAGCCCACAAAGTGAGACTTAAAGGAAAAATGACCCATCAACAATGAAATAGCTATGATCATCAAATATGATATATTTGATGGTAAAAAAGTGCCCAATTAACTAACAATTGACTTCAATCCAAGAAATCCCAGGTGCTGAACTTCATAGGGAGTGTGATAATTATCATTTTTATATAAATACTTACTACTATTTATTTCTCATGATTGGAGGTGATTTTCCAAGAATATAACACACATACAGATACATTACTGACCACACTTACGTCAGGCAGAAGCAAAGTGCAACAAAGTGTAAATTCAGTTCATCTTGAGATAACTTTGCCACTATGGTAGTTACTGTTATGCTCTTAAATTAAATGTGGCAGAAGGCCCAACTGTGATATGTCATGCCGTACAGAAAATGTGACCCAAATTAACTCAAGTCAAATAGTTTTATAGTTTTGTGTTTCCTCCCCCCAGTCCAATGCTACAGTTGTAAAAGCTGAGTTTTTCCAACCATCTGCAGATGTACCATTTCATAGTGCTGAACTTGCAGTATATTTCGAGTGTAATTAAGGTTAACAATTTAGTCAAGGATCGAC